CATTTAAAGGTGAATTAACACATCAACCACTCTTCATACTAATAGAGATAGCTACACACAATATATTTGATCTCAATTAATACCCTTTTAGCATTGCTCCTATATATTTCCTGCATTTTGTTTGAAGAACAAGCAAAGAGAATTTGTCCACCCAAAAGGCCTACACTCGACAACTTCACAGGGAGTTATCACCTTCTCTAACAATGATCTACAGGGAGTCACCATCCCCCGTGATGATACATTGGTGATCTCCCTCATGATTGCCAATTATGTGAGGATGACCCTTAATTGAGTCCAGCCTATCGACATCCCCTTGATTGGTTTCTCTGGGACAACCATCAAGCTTAATGGAAAGATCACCGAAATAGGGACAAAGCTTGACACACTACTCTGACCAAGTTCCTAGTTGTCAAGGTTTGCTCCCCATAAAATGCAATTATCGGCTAACCAACATTACCTTCATTAAAGGTGATGATTTCTTTAAACAACATAGTCTTAAAGTTTTCGATGGATGACAACATAACAGTGGTTTGTGAGGCAATGTTATGTAGCGGACCTCAAATGCAAGACAAAAGAAATGCTGCCTATGGAATGGCTCACACTTGATTTTTGCTCAGTCTGCTGCTTGAACCCCTAATTCACCCTAAATTTCTTATCAGACCCTTTCAATCTTTTTGAAACACCTAAAAACCCAAGAAACCTTAATTTCACCCCAAGAGCCCTCAAATCCATCGTTAAACCTGCTCGATACCAATCCTATGGCCCCGATCAACCCCCATTTACATCTCAACAATTAGATTAGACATTGCCATCAAACCCAAAACATGCTAAAATACCTACCCATTTTGGATCCTCTCGTTGACTCAAAATTCCTTCATTTACCCTTTCATCAAACTAAGATTCCATTTTGGATCCTCTCATTCACCCAAATTCCTATGATCTTGCCCCCCTATACCAATCAGACATTACCACCAGATCCTTGATACCCTAAAATATATGCCACCTGTAAAATTTCAGCTCAAAATGCCCCTATTTAGCCATCCATCGCAACAAGATTCCCTTTCAAAGTTCCAGATTAATCGAATCAAGGCTCCTTCCCCCTTTTCCAGATCTACCTGATCCGGGCCCATCTTATTCGCCCACATACACAAAACCCCTCTCTATAGTCATACCAATTTTAACTCTCTAACTTCGGTTTAACCCTAGACCTGGTTTGACCTAAATGTTTCAAACTTACAAAAGTACTCCTCAAAACCCCTAAAATTATAGAAATGCCATTATGCCCTATTATAAATACAAAGCTAACTTTGCAATTTAACTAAATCTACTATTCAACTTCCCTATTCGAACGAAACTAGTGCGGCGGCGACATCCACTCTACCTTTGGTCTCTCCGTCTTTTCCTCTTCTTTTTTCATCCTCCTTCCTTCTCTTTCCCTCTTCTTCTTCCTCTTCCCTCCTGATTCCATCCTTCTCCATTCCTTACTACTGCTGCAACTTACGACAATAGTGATTCTCCATTCTTTCTCTTCACTCTTCCTGCTCTCTCTATCCTATCATTTCCATTATCCTTCTCTCTCTCTCTCTCACTCACCCCACTTCACTGATCTTCCTCCATTTCTATCACGCAGCCCTATCCGTTTGAGATTTCTCTCGCCACTGCAATTTGTTGCATCGGTAAGTTCAAACACAGCTAGCATTGGTCGAACCCCCCTATTTTCTCATCTATCCTTTTACTCTCATTGTTTCTCTGTTGTCCATCGTCCACACTGGTATATTTCAAACATTGTGGTGTCTCAAAACAGATTGCAAATCCCCTGTTTCAGTCCTCTTCACCAGATACAATCTAAAATAGTTCCATCCTAAACCTCATGCAAAGTCTGCATCTAGAGCACCAATTGCTATAGTAGTTCAAAGGGAGAGAGACAGATTAAGGGCAAGTGAGTAAAGATCAAAACTCATCTGAAATCTTCTCCTACAGCATCCATCGATTCCAAACCGATATTCTAATACCTGAGGGAGAGGGATGGAGCTGGTTCCTTCAAAGTAGCTCTCGTAATCCTTAGATCAATATGTTGTGATAATCTTCTTACGGCAACCGGTTGATAATGTTGTCGTTGGCTTAATTCCACTATCATTGTACATGTTTCGAGTTAAAAAATCAAATCCTCTTTAAGCAAGAAACCGATGAGATTCGCATCTTGTTCTCCCTTCAGTTTCTTTACATCTGCTGTCTACTTCTTTTTTAGCATCTATTTGGCATCATTTATGTTGCTCTGTAAAACGGTGACACATCATTGCCACTTCGGAAAAAATAGTGGTCCAGGAAATGCCTATTTGTTTGGAACAGTTTTTCATAGAAATTGGTGCTTCAAATCAAGTCTTAGAAATCAAGAAAGTGTGGTTTGGAGTAATGCCAAATTTGACGTTTCCAAAGAACTGCAGCTCATTGCGGCCAAAAAGGACATGAGGTGGCAGTGACAGGAACATAACGTGGCATTGGATAATAGGTACTAGTACTTAAAATGCTTCTTAGAGCATTGGTGCAAAACAGAAAACATTGTTACTCTAGGAAACATCTCTACCTAGCAACAACGTTTTCAAATAAAAAAAAGACAGTTTTCTCAGAAAACGATGCTTCCAACCCACACATCAGGTGTTATATCTGCAACATCAATGCCAAATATATACTTATTAGGCGTTTGGAAGCGTGGATGCTTTTTGGGATCAATTTTCAAGAAAAAACGCCCATGCTTCCAAGACCCGTTTTTCACAAAAAAAAATGTTTCTACCACGTAGGAAGTGGGCAACAGTATACTATTTGGCAAGGTGATTTTCATCACCGTTTTTCATGTATGTGCTGATAGGTAAGCACCACATAGGATACACATCAGTCAACTGTTGGGGGAAACGGTTCACTGATGCATGAAACGCCAAATTTAGCGTTTCATGCATCGGTGGGGTCCCGATTTTCAGGGCATGCCCGATTTTTTAATAATCAGTTGAACTAAACAATGAGATACATGGGCATTTCAACATGTGGACCCGACGTGGCACCATTTTTTTGAAAAACGGCCATGGTTCCAAACATTCCCTTAGTTGATATGATCGGTTGATTCCCTATTATACTAGATCGTTGATTCTCTTCTAGCTATTTGAATTTGATCATAGCTTGCTATATTCGTCCAAAGAGATGGTAAATAAATATTGCACAGTAAAAAATGGAAAACAGAAAAAAAAACAAAAAGAAGATTAAGGAGAAAATAAAAGAAATGTAATTCAGGGATGGGCATCTTTACCGTGTTAGAATGATGAGGAATGCAGGTTCCAGAGAGAAAAATACTTTAAAAATGTAATAGTAAGGGAAAAGAAAAATAAATAATAAATAATAAGTGATTACTTAAAAAAGGGGAAGAAAATAAATAAATAAATAAAATGAAAATCTGTAATAATGGGTTTAACCGATAGAAATGAGATTTTAGCTTAATAGGTAGGATATTTTTGCAGGTAGAATAGGCTAATAATAAAGATGAATAAGCATACAAGGTTCCATATGAAAATAACAAAAAACAAATAAATGATTAATAAAATTAAAAAAAAAGGAGAAACTAAAATAATAAAGACAGATGTAATATAAAAAAATATAATGAAAATAAAAAAGAACAAAAAAATAAATATAATAATAATAGAAAAAATAAAATAAAATTTAATGCAAAAGGTTTTTCATTTGTGGTGGCTTATTCTTTTGATTTGCTTTCTTTCTCTTTATTTTGCTTAAATATAGTTTACTTGTGCTTGTTTGGAACGTCATGTGGGCTCCACCTATTAGACCCAGGAGAGGGGTGCTTAACTCCTTCCCTCTTCCATTCAAATCTTTCCAAACTGGTTAGTTGATGCTTTGGACTTTGGAGTCGCTATTTGATAAAAACGATTTTTAATGCTATGCTCGAAGGTCCCATCACCTTCATTTCCATAATTGATGGGTGGTGACTCCAAATCAGTCCAAGTGAGCAATTTTCCTGATGCTAATGCTCACTGGCGACTCCACTAGGGAGTTCTTGGACCATAGGTGGGGCACACATGGGTACCCGTTTGGCTTGATTGCCATTTTTTGTATATATGCATGCTTTTGCATTATTTTCCTTTTGTTATAATAAGAAGTGCTCATTTTTCTAATGATTAGATAATTGCTTTATTTTTGTTCTTGCTTATTTGCTTATTTACACTTTGCACACATCATCTTGCATTAGATTTAGTGTCCTATTGTCTTATAGGAGAGAGTTGTACGTTTAAGCCTCAGGACCAACGTACCCTATACATGTGCTTTAAGAGGCCTCTATTGCCCCAAGATACATATGCTTTAAGATGATCATCAAATGCGTGCAAAGCATCCAACACTTCCTGCTCCGAGCCATCATTGGGATCCTTGCTCTTTAAGAACTTAACAAAAGAAGGGGATATTTTAGATCCCTACAAGACCAAAGGAAATTGATGCTAGAGTGAGTAAAAGTGGGGCACGGATATTTTGAAGGAGAGAGAGAGAGAGGGGGTCGAGGTTCGAATGAATGAAAAAAATAGAATGAAAAAGTGGGGCACGAATATTTTTGTGCTACAAAATAAATACTTTTTTTACCCTACACCCAAGTTTTATTCTGGAAACAATGAATCCTATGACAAGAATTTTTTTATCCAAACACCTTTATCTCATCCATTCTTGCTCATTCTTGCCCCAAATGGGCAACATTTAAAAGAATAAAGCCTAGAGCAGTGAATCAAACATGGCCTTACTGTCACAAACTAAAAGGATACACTGCCTACTTGGCAATGAGTCACCTTCTCAAACTAAATAAGACATTGAAAATGGGATAGAGCTTTAAAATTACCAATCCTTTAATATGATGTAAAGCATGGTGATGTTCACTACCAAATCATTAACATACTTCCAAACAAATACAAAAAAATAAAAAATAAAAAACAAATATTCAAATAAAGTAAGGCATCTCAACACTCTTCAAGTTCAATATCAACTTGATGGTTCTCTTCATTGTCAAGTAAAACTATTGTACTATCTACACATGGCCTATCCCAACTAATATCATCATCCATGCTTTGATCATAACATGATATGCTTTGTAAATTTGCTTCAATATCATCTTCTAAGCCATTTTCATGCATATCATATAATTCTCTTGTTTTTATCACAACAGCATTCCAATCAATATCGATTGGATCTTTTACATAAAATACTTGTTCTACTTGAGATGTTAAAACAAATGGTTCATCATGCAAATTCTTTCCCGTTTGACATAACCGCATAAAATTGACAAGTGTAAATCCAAATCCATCCTTCTTGATTCCTTTACTATAGTTTAGAACATCAGCCTAATCACATTGAAATAAAAAGACCTTGCAGTTTCCATGATAATCCAATTCAATGATATCTTAGCACACCATAGTAACTTATATCTCCTATAATGGGATTTTGATCATTGGCACTTGCAAAGTTTGATGTTTTTGCATTAGCAACAATTTCACTATGTTGAGTTTTCCTTTTACCATCATTTCCTAAGTGTGAAACTTAGTCTTATTCATCATAAACTCATCAAATCTTCTAGAAATATTGTTGGATTAATGACCAACCATCTAATATCATTTTGATACTTGTTCAGACCTTGTCTGTTGCATATCTATGACCTAATAAATCCATTAGAAGTTAGTTATGAAAAAAGTTGATTGATAAACTAAATGTACACATGGTACTACATTGTAATAATAATTTCTTACGTTGTTGTAAAACCATTTGTGAAGTTTCTCACTATGAATCCGTTCCATATCTCTTATTTGTCTATGATGAACACATTGCTTAAGAGTGCTCATGTACTCTCTACACGTGATTTAATCTATGTTAGATTTAAAAAATTACATTTTACTTAATTTAATAAAACAATTAGATCTTACTCTTGGATGGGGATGAATTCATCACAATTGAAGAGAACATATTGGTAAATGGTTCACACTTTCCAAATGCATGCCCTATGTGTCGAAAGATAGAAAATTGTTTTTTCATAGAAATATTATTGTGATTCCTGATTGGTCAGTTAAATCTCATCTCCACTAAACAAAATGTTAGACATTCTTCTACAAGATACCCTTCTACAATCAAGCCTTCAGGTTGATTTCTATTACGCACATATGACTTTAATGTAGATAAATACCTATATCAATATGAAATTGGATGAATATGGATTAGGCTTTAATTATTAGTATAGGCATTTAATCAAATCAAACTTTCTAATTACTATCACATACCTCTCAATAGGGTACATCTAACAATATTGTATGGGCCTACATATCATGGCTTCACCCACTAAATGGTTCGACAAATGCACCATAATGTCAAAAAAATGATAGTGCAAAGGCTATTTCCAAGTTGCAAAGAATTAATGCAATTTGAGATTCTAACATTTGAAAATTATGTATTTGGACAACATTGAAATATAATTCCCTAAAGAATGAGCTTAATTCAATCATAATTGAGGCTACATTCTTAGTTAATGTCCTTTGAATAGCCAAGGGAAGTAATTGTTGCATCAAAATACGACAATCATGGCTCTTTAATCCTGAGATTTTCCGCTCCTTTAAGTGCACACATCTTAAAATGTTAGATACGTAGTCATTTGAAACTTTTACTTGCTTCAAGACTTGGAAAAAAATTATTTTTCCTTCTTATCCATTTGTGAAGCATGTTGGAGGCAAATATATTTTATTTTGTCCAATTTGCATTGGATGCAAAGTTGGTCTTATATTCATTGCTTATAAATTTTGACAAGATTTTAGGTTATCTTTGCCTTTTCCTTCAATATTCAATAATGTTTCAACCACAATATTGTTATATACATTCTTTTCAATGTGCATAACATCAAGATTATGATGTAATAAAAGATCTTTCTAGTATAGCAACTCAAAGAAAATACTCTTTTTTTTTCCAATTAAATGAAAGATTTTCATCACATATATTCTTTCCAAATATAACATTAATGTCACCCACCTCTACTAATACATCAGAATCAGAGAGTGAAACTGGTGTATCCCTATATTCTTGTTTACCATCAAAAAATCTTTCATCATTTCTAAATTTATGATCATGATCCAAAAATCGTCAATGACCCATGTAACATATCTTTCAACTTTTTGATAAGTATATAGAACAAGTATCCTTATGGCAACATGGACAAGCTAAGTAACATTTAGTGCTCCAACCAAACCAATTAGCATATCCTAGAAAGTCATTAATTATCCATAATACAACTGTATAAAGTGGAAATTTCTCTTTTCTTGAAGCATCATAAGTTTCTACACCACCTCACAATATTTTTAGCTCATTTACTAAAGGTTGTAAGTACACATTAATGTTGTTACCCGGTGCATAAGGGCTAGGAATAAGTAATGACAACATAAAATAGGGTTGCTTCATACATCCATGGTGGTAAGTTGTATAGTATAATAACAACAGGCCATGTGCTATAGGAAAAATTCATTGTCTTGAATGAATTAATGCCATATATAGTTAATCCAAATCTAACATTACGATTATCCACAACAAATGTAATGTAAGAAGTTAAACATTTTTCAGGCAGGTGACTCATTAGGATGCCTCAACTTTCCATCTTTAAGGCATTCTTCATCATGCAACACATGAAAGAAGTTTTTCCATATATGAATAGCCTTTAAAGCCTTGATGTCAAGAGAAAATAACACAATATCTTCTTTGGAATCTTTCAATTTTTCTTAGATGATATATTGTTATCAAAATCCCACCTAGAAATACCACATGTAATACATGACTCATACTTGACAGTTTTTTCCCAATATGACATACAATCATTTGGGCACATATCAACTTTTTCATAATGGAGACTCAATTCCTTGATGATCTTTTTAGTTTTATAAAATGACTTTGACAATATTTTTCCCTCCAGAAATACTTTTTTAATAGCTCAAGCAACATAGTAAATGATTTGTTGGTCCATTCACCCAAACATTTTATGTGATATAGTCAAAACAGAAAAAGAAAGCATGGAAGATTTCTTACATCCTAGATATAATTCTTTACCAACATCTTCTACCAACTTAAAAAACTTTTGAGCATCATCATTAGTCTCTTGTCTAGGTGCAATGTCACATCATTTGAATCATCATCTGAGCTTAAATAACCAAATACATTATGTAACATACCATGCATATCATCATATGGACCTGGTTCACTATTTGTAGCAGTTGCCTTGTGGTTAGAAGTTGTAGCATCACCATGGTACACCCAATTTGTGCAAGTCTTATTAAACCCCTCACAAATAATATTGTCATACACTTCTGTTCAATTTCTCAACATAGAGTTGTTGCACTTAATACATGAATATAGAATTTTCCCTTCTTGATTTGCATTTGCAAATGCAAAATCAAGGAACTGTGAAGATCATTCCAAGTAAGTCAAGAGTGCCCTGGTCACATAAGTAAGAAGGAATTATACTGATAAAAGAAATAACTCTTATACAAGTTGAAACACAAATACAATGATACATCTACCCATTTGGCATTTAGAGTGAATCATATATGGCTACCTATAGCCCTTAATATGACTGCAAGAGCTTATTACTCCCCTGATGCAATTGCAAATGTATACATAACTTGCACAATAGGAAGAAGCGTCCTTGTGCAGTAGGAAAAGCTAGGTCTGGGAGTGGAAATTTTGGCATGTCATTAAGATTAGGAGTGGAAGTGTTAGTTGTCATGATGATATTATACAAGGATAAAATCATAACCCTATGAGTGTAGAACTACTATTTTGATACAATGACTGAGATTCTATATGAAAGCATCAAGATTTTAAGCTAAAAACATCACATATGTCTACACTTTTAACGGTCTAATAATGGGTTCATCTTCATTTATGTTCCTCAAGTGAAGGTTTCAGAGATAAAACTGAAAACATGCAAATGGATTTCATGTATTTATTCTGTTTCATGGCTTATGCAATATGGCTTCACAAGGAAATCAATGATCTTGTTGTTTGTTCTATTCTGATGCAACTTTTCCCCTATAAAGAGACTAGCTAAATTTGGGTCAGATCCCTGACATTCTTAGTGGTGATCTTAGGATACTTAGATTATGTTCCTACAACCTAAGAAAACCTCCTTGTGTCAATTTACCTCTATCATTAATTTGTATTAATTAAGTCAATAAAAGAGCTTTAATTTTTAAAAACAAATTTTGGCCCTTGTTCCAACACAAATCCCAAAAAGAAAAATTGTTGGGTTGTAGCTGTCTAATTAGCACATGACCCTGACAAAGTTGTAAACCTATGACCTTTGGGTTGTACCCAGATCTAAAGTGATCCAACTCTTTGTTTTCATTTTGGAAGATAACTCCTTGTAACCGCTTTTTTTTTTTTTTTTTGATGAGAGGTCCAACCTATTGGATAGCCTTTCAAACTTTGTTTATCCTCTCTTCTGTCATGGGCTAAATGATCCCTCTATAAACTTTTCCTTGTGAACAGAAACAAATTAGGAATAAAAGCCTAGGGTTGATATGGAATGAATAGGGGAAGTTTCATACATGTTAAGAGGTTAAGTGCACCATTCTATGCACTAGAACAGAACCATTAGGAGGGAAGAAGTTAATGATCCATGGAGTTGAAGGTAGCCATCCATCCAAAGTTGAGGATGTGTGAACAATAATAATATACTAAGATATACATGTAAAGTGCAAGTGTAAGATGAAGCAAACTCAATGCCACAACATAACTAAAAAGCAGATCCAGGGCTACCAAAACTATTAAGAAGCCGAAAGAAAAGGTACCAATAATTGGTTGAAATTTTAGAATATCATAAATTCAGTTTTTTTTTTTTATTTCTATCTCATTTTTTTAAATATAAACCTTGATCTTCAGTCCCAAATATAAATAACAAGGTGATACGGAAAGATATGAAAAGATACTCCAAAAGTGATAAAAAGGCCCTTCATTAGTTTTACAACAAAACCAAAGTACTCTTCCTATTAGACATGGCAAATTGAAACTTGAATCAGATCTAGGTTTATGAACCACATAATTGGAACTTTAGAAAACAAAACAAAGTACTCTTCCAGAGATATTGGGACAATTCAATGGGAAGAAAGAGAAAGGACACTCTCAATCCTTTTTTCATTACTTAAGAAAATGAGAAAATACAAAAAAATATCATTCTTCATTACTTAAGGAGAGAGGTGACAAAACAAAACAACTAAAACAAAGTAGCATCCACAAAGGATTAGATCTTTGATATAAATTGACTGTCCAAACCTCACTCAGTAATAATGAATACCTATAAAAGAGTGTCATATCATGTTGATCCTATCCAACTTTGCCTTTACTCTATTTGAACAGCTAGCATAGCTTCTCTCTTCACAAAACCTTGCTACTATAGAATTAGTTGATTTAGGACTCCACCTGAACAATAAATGCCTTTCATCTCCAGGAGGTCTAAGTAGGAAGTAAGCTGAGGATAATGATCCTAAAACTTTAGAGGAAACCATGACCCAGAGGCATAGTTATGATATCCAAATGAAATTGCCATATCATGGAATCTTTATAGAAATGCAACAACTCCACTGTTGATACTGGTTGCTAAATGGAAACTACACTTTGAGGCTTCACTTTGTTGAGATCATACATTTACTAATGGAAGAAATTATAGTAGTTTGGGAAGGTGAATGTTCAATGTTTATATTCAGGTAGTTTTTAATCAATTACATTTTAAGATGTGCATTCACTATCTTATATTCCAACATTTTAGTCAGTTCAATGTTTCAATGTCCCGGGATGGGGGGTGGGGGTGAAGTACAACATTTGATTGAATGAGAAGATAATGTGTGGATATGTTTGTGTGCATGTTGTTTGCCTTGTTAGTGATTGGAAGCCTTAACTTCAACACATTTACCCATTTTCCCAATTCTTGATTGCAGTGTGTGGTTTTAACTTAGGTATAATTTTGTTTGGCACTTTCAGATTTCTTTCTTTTTTTTTTTTTTTGAGATTAACATGACCATTATATATGTTGGTTTCTTTTGAATTTATTGTTCCAAACAAGTGACCTATTTTAGCTAAATGTATCCATATCACAATACCTATCCATTTCCAAGCTTTATTGATAATTATATGTATAGATACTTTGAACCTCAGTTGGACAAGCACCAAGCAAAGAAGTAAAATTGACAACCAAAGTAAATCCCTCAAAAGAAATAAGTAACTTGGTTCTTAGGACAATCCATGGATTTTGATTAACATGGATTCGACACCACAGTTGGAATTTCCAAATCTGTGAGTCTTCAGATTGCATCATTTGGACTTTTTTTGTCATAATAGTAGAATTTGCAAAACATGGATTTGGAAAATGCAGCCTAGAATCATAGAACCAAACAACTGAGCAAGTTGTGGTTTCATGTTACAATGAATTCTAGACATTGAGTTCTTAAAATACAATTGCCCCATTCCCAAATTGGGGTGGATTGGGGAAATTGGTTTTCACAGGATCCATTCCCAAATTGCATGGGGTTGCTCTATTTGGAAAGGTATTCTCAAAAGTATACATTTGATGTACCCAGGTGTGAGATCTAAGGTGGGTAGAGGGAAGACTGAAGTTTTGGAAAGATCCTTGGCGTTTGGATAGACCTTTAACTTAGGCATTCCCCCTTCTTTTTCAATGTGCAACAAACCAAGAAGTATCAATGGCAGAGTCTTATTTTCTCTCCAATAACACAGTGGTTTGGAATCCTCAATTCATAAGAAACCTATTTGATTGGGAAGTAAATGGGGTCTTGGAGCTGTTGGAATTGTTACAGGGTCAGATTATTGATACAAACGGGAAAGATGAATGGTTCTAGATCTGGAGTAGGTATGGTGATGGCAACTTCCCCTGTAAACAAGTTTGGAATCCTATTTCTCCCTCTAAATCCAACTTCCTTGTGTTGACAATGGTGCAGAACAAATGCTTCTTTGAAATCAATTTAGACAGGAGGGGTCTTCATCTCTCTTCTCTGTTGTGTGGTCTTTGTGGTCTTTTGCTTGAATCCACAGACCGCCTGTGTATCCATTGTCCTATCTCCTCTATAGTGTGGGATCACTTCCTCAAGGCTGTTGGACTTTACTGGGTTATGCCAAAATCAGTCAAAGACCTTATGTTTAGTTGGGAGATTACAGACTTGAAGAAAAAAGGAAAATTAATATGGAAGGCAATTGCTACGGCTGTTCTTTGGGTAATCTGGGCAGAGAGGAACAGAAGAGTCTTTTGTAAAAGGACTAAGAGCACTGATAAGGTAGCACAACAGGCGGTCAGCAAACTGATTTCTTGGGTGTCTTACTCCAGATTTTAAGAACCTGAATGCACCCGACTTGTTTAGATCAAAGTCCATATGGAGTTTGTAACTTTGGCCTAGTGCTCTATCTAGTCCTCATGTGGCAAGCTTCTCTGTTGTAACTTGTATTATCGGATTCAATAATATTTTACTTTACCTTTCAAAAAAAAAAATACAATTACCCTATTACTCGAAAAAAAATTGGCTTCTCATCAAACATAGAATCCTCATTTATTCATACTAAGGCTGCATTTGGCATTCCTTATTTTTAAGGACTTATTTCCTTTTCCCTATGAACACCGAGTTTTTAATTGCAAAAAGGAGATAACTCCTTAAAATAAGGATTGCCAAATGCAGCCTTAGTGTCTTCACATTCAAATTTTATGAATTGTTTATATAGAAAAGAAGAAATTATAGATGTAACTATAGTTAAAAAGCATGCATATAATATGCTTTTTTCTATTATAAACAAACTGTATTGAAACAAATATATTTTCAAAATACAGAAAATTATATGAACATAAAAATTATAGTATGCATATAGCAGGAATTTTTGAAAACTATGGAGAAAAAATATAAATGTTGGAGTTTTAGTATATCATTTACAACATAAACAAATTATACTCACACAAATTCATATATTTAATGAAATATATCAAATAAAAAGCATATCAAAATTTTTGTTTCATATTTTTTTAAAGAAAGAGTATTAAACACTTATAATGACTTTAACTAATCTTTTTACTATATATGGCTTTGTTTTGGCTCTACTTTTATCTTAATATAGGTATTTGGTAACCATGGTCACAACCAGGGACCAATCCAAAGGGGAGTAAAGGGTGACTCCCCAAAACTTTTGAGTTTACTATTTGGGGTTGTTTAGAAGAATCCTGTCCCACCGTTGTGCTATATCAAGAGCATATGGACAAACTGATATCAATTCATATTCAAGGTTCAAAGTATTGATTCTCTCGATATGCAAATCAAACAACTGAAACTCTATTCTTTTTTTCATTTTCGTTCTGGCATTTTATAGGGGCTAATGTCACACCACAAATTATCATTCAAAACATTTAAACCCAGTCAATTCTCAATATATAACACATGGATGCCCCTTAAAAACTATATGTTGTTATATGTATCAAATGATATGCAATGATACATTTAAACCTTCATATATGTAGCCTTCATATGATTCTATTATGTTCCAAGCTCTTATTCTTCTTCTTTTTCTTTATTGACATCAATTACATAATTGAGATAAGGAGTTTTTTCTACCATCTCAATATTGAGATGCATGGTAGATAAGAATTGTAATCATATTATATAATTGTCAACCTGTCACATGAATATGAAGAATTGAATACTTCTACATGCAAGGTAACTTAATTACTAATAGAAAATATATTATTCTCCATTTTTTACTAGAGGAAAGATCTTTTCTCTTTTCTGGGTATTAGAAATCAAAAACTTCAAAGGTCCAAATGGTGGACGGTTGATTAGCAAAAACAAGGGAAGAAATAACAAACTGAGATTTAGAGTCTCTAGAATCTTTCTTCCGATCAGAGATTAATCCAAAAGCCGAAGAAAATGAAAACATTAACCCAGCAATCATTGGAACAAAAAAAAAAAGAAAAATAATGGAAAAATAATTAATAATAACATGATTCAATGTTTAAACAGTTGGGATTTTAGAATCCAAATCTATACAATTATCAAAGAAAACAATGATAGGCTTGGGTTGATGTCGAGAACCAGCTCCATTGTCTCTCCTACTCTCCCTCAAGTCACAATAGTGGCTAAATACAAGATTAATACAATAAACACACAAAGAAAAAAAAAAAAAAAAGATTAAAGAAGACTATCCACTAGGGGCAATAACAGGCTTACCTGATTATGATAGACCTTAAAATCGATCAATGGAATAGGGAAATCGAGGTCGTGCCATCTCCAATCGTCCTCTCTAACAACCATGATGGTGAAGTCAAGGATACTGTGTCGTCTCCAATCATCCTCTCTAACAGCTTGATCAGGGGATCGACGACATCTGAGGGGAGTGGGGAATTTTAGCTGTTGCAGCTCCAGGCCATAGAGATGATGAATAGCATCCCAGTAACGGGGAAAGAGAAGGAAAAGGGAAGGGGAAGAGAGAGGAAGAAAAGAGAGGAAACTAGTGTCACGGGGCTAGTCGTTGGGACCCCGTGCGACACTCGAATGCGATGAGTAAGTCTAAGCAACAAGCAACAACACAAGAAAAGGCAACAAAGATGGCACACGAATTAGATAAAAGGAAAATTGTATTGTATTAATGGATGGCAAGCATAATCACACAGTTAAGTGTCAAGATGATCTCATGCTTAACCTTTACATGCTCATGACTCACTCGACTACCTATCTCCCTTCAAAGAGTACGTTAAGCTTTTGGGGGAGTGACAATAAGAAACATCAAAATGATGAAAAATCATACCATTTAATTATAATAATGCCATTGGCGGTCCCCCCTTACAAAATACATGCAAAGCTCACCCATGACACACATGTTGACACCATGAAGGCACGCGGTTGGCACTCTGATGGCTCATGGTAGGTGCTTGATGGCACGACGAAGGAGTCACCTCTAATCGGCTTCGGCTGGTCCCTTAGAGTCACTGTTGCGGAAGGAAGGTTCTTCTGCTGCTCCCCGAACCGGCTGTCGTCCAAGGCCGAGGTGTATATTTTGGTGGCATGGCTGGGGTGGCTCATTCTGTTGGGGTTTCCTATGGCTAAGTCCTTTCCTGGCAGCCTCAAGGTATGTTAGTGACTGGTTCAGTTTGGCTAAGGGGTAGGTTTGGGCCAGGTAAGGATCAAAATGGTGTTTTGGATTATTAAGGTGTGGGTTCCCATGCATTTTTCCCCAAGGGTAACTCACAGGGCTACTACGGGAATTAGCCTGAGGGATGATGTGAATGTAGTCCCTAGATGGCTTGGGTGGTACTCGCTCTCCATGGTGGTTGTGGTAGTAGATGTGGGCAAGGTTTGACACGGCCTTGGGTCTTCTATTGGGCCCATCAATTGCGGGCGCTAGCGGCTTCTGCTGTGAAGTCGACTTCTACTGATGTGGTTGGTGTTGAAGCTGATGCTGATGCTGATGTTGGTGCTGACTTGGGCGCTGGCATTGGCATTGGTGCTGGAAATGGAACTGTCTTGGGGGTGACTTCTTCCTGGTGACGACTTCCCAACCAGTTCCAGTGTCGATGTGAGGTACTTGATAGGGGTTCTTCCTTGT